AAAAAAAAAAAAAAAAAACGGAGATATGTACCCAATAAGCACCAGGGTCATGCTTGCAGTTCTCATGTAGGAACCTCATGACTGAAAGACCATTGTGTTGGACAACATGGGGATGAAAAGCAGGAGTTCCATCATCAGATATGCCCTTTAGTAGAAAAATATCGTCGGTCTTCAGAAGCTCATAACCTTGAACAACACCATTCTCATGATAACAGATGGCCAATTCAGGAACACTAGCCATAAAGTTGTCCAACCAAGCTTCAAGCCAGGTTAATGGAGTGACCTGCAAAAGAATTTAGATAAGCACACAGCAAACGCCAAAATGGAACTTCCAACGGGTCTCGAAGAGAAAAAGATCCTTTTACCCACCTTGCGTGAGACATCCCACAAGTGCAAGCTCACCGCGGCGTACTTCTCATTGCTAAAGATGAGCAAATCACTACCCAGAAGCATACGGAAATTGTGGAACTGCCAAAAGAGCACTCTTAAAAAGCCATCCTCACCAATTTTTCTATACTTTTCAGATTCTTGGACTGGGCACCTTGGCTTTTCTTTAACTTCCGCTACCTTCTTTACAGTTTCACGACCTTTATGTCTCTTATTTTTCTTCTTACCCAAATACAGATTTTTCCTTCCAGCATGTGGCAACTCCTGCTGATGGGTAAACTCTTTGCTTTGGCCAATACCCTCCTGTTGCCCATAGGATGGATGCCCTTGCATTGGATGATCTGAGGATTCAAGTGAGCCATCACTTGGCATGCACCCGTTGGGGTGAGTATGTGACTTCAATTGCTCATCTGAAGAAGTATTGTGACTTGGTGGGCAATCACAAGCCTCCATTCTTACAGAATGCATAGCAAAATTTAAAAATAACGACTGATCAACAGATTTTGGCTGACGATTTTGTCTTCGAATAAGTCTTTCTCCCTCTTCGATATCAGGCCTGCAGACAACTTTTCAGAATGGTGACATTCAACAGACTGCAAAATGCAATGCGCATAGAAACCTTACCCGCTATTCAGGACAAGCGTTTGTCCAACACGGTGAACAGCAATTGACACGCGAGCCTTGGTGTATGGTATCTTAAATATTTGTTTCAGAACATCAGCAGGAGCAATGACATCTATCTCATCACCATACTCTGCTAAACCAGATACAGCAAGGGCTTCTCCTTTCCTAGCAAGATTAGACATGATAGGACTATCTTGCCAGTGCGAATCTGCCAGCATATAAAAGTGTGACAATCAAAACAAAGGTTGTAAAATGTTCAAGCATAATCTCTGTCACCTGCAATCAACTACCTAAAAGGTTTCTTAAGGTTACAGTGCACCGGCATCACAAACTTAACCCCCTCAATACAGATGATTTAGTCTAGAAAATGGATTTAGCCAATTCAGTGACATGTGATGACAATAGGAGAACACTCCATGCAGAAGGGTAATTTCCATAAAATCGCTAAAACTCCAGTTGATTGACCAGAAACTAGATTAGTACAACCAAAGGGAGTGGGGTTGACCTTGAAAAACCTAGTTAATGTCATCTTCCATCATTCATGAAAGACATAAGAATTCTATTCAACTGCACTATGCAGATAAAGTACTTCAAGGTAAAAGGTGAGTGGATGCACCAGGAGCAGAAGAAATACACAGGTCCAATCCAGAATTTGATTATCTATTTTGAGCAAATTTTCTTTTGACCTTTACCCAGCATCTTTTTTGAAGTATCATGCAGCAGAAGTAATTGATCTTGTCTACTATATTAATCTTTCTTGGCATGACCCAAGTTATCAATAAAAAAAGTGTATACATGAAATGACTATTACCATCCTTTGTCCTCGACTGTGTTGCAGCGACTGGTAGCACTTTTTCTGGGATGCTCGAGAGTAAAGGAAGCGCGTTCAGATCTGTTTCTGTTGGAATCATTCGATACCTTGGAGCTTGTACCCTATGTTACCAAAAGTTTAATTCAACAGTCACGAGATAATTCACAAACGAATGACATGTTACTGAAGTTATTACAAATTTCACAAGCAAGGAATACATTGCCTATAGACAGATGACAACATGCAGCGAACACTCACAACCAGATAATGAAAGCAAAAGATAGCCAGTTCTAATGCTAGCTTGAACTAACTCCTCAGTCAATCATCTGTCCTTGCACAAAATTGCTAGTTGAAAGTTACCTAAATTTAACTAACCATCATCATTAACACAATCAGCCACGACCACAGAGACAGATGCATACCAGGTTATTAACACAATGCCTAAACACAATCCACCGATTAAACACAGTAAAGCAGCTAAATAGTATGTTAAACGACATACATCTGCCATAACTCAAGCAACAGTAATGGAAAAGCGGCAATAGAGAAACACCAGAAGCATTGAAATGCAAATACACCACCACCGTATTAAAAAAAAAATATTGACGTACGCATCGGAGGAGGGGACGAGGGCGGCGGAGGTGAATTCATGAAGAGGCTCATCGGTAGTTACCGGTATGGATCCGCACAGGAAGCCGGCGGGCTTCGGCCGCGCGATTTCCAGCCTTCCCACGCACTGCAGCTCCCGCGACTCCGATCCTTGTTTCTCCATTCTATCCACTTGACTGCAAGAATTCGATCGCCAAAGCTAGGGTTTCTTCTGCTTTTCTTTATCCAATTGAGGTTTTAATTCAACTGTTCATCGCGGAGTGTTCATCTGAAAAAAAACGGATTGGTCTTTGTGAAAGTGGTGATTTTGCTTCTGGAAAATTCCTTCGAGCTTTCAAATTGAATTATTCTTTATTGCTTCATTTGTTTAGCATTTTATCGAGTGACTGTGAAACTCGTGTCTTGCTGCCAGCTTGCCACGTACGTGCTTGGTTTTATTATTGCCATTTCACGGGGAAAAATTCAAAAACATTCCCTCTTTTTCCAAATCAAAATTTTATGTAAAATTTGATTGTTTGATGTATGATTGTAGGGTCAAATCGAGGGGTACTCAATTTTTTTTTTTTAACAAATCCGTAAAAATATTTAATTATGTATTACTATATAATTAGGCAACTCACCTACTAAAAATAGTAAGTGTTTTAGTGGGTCCCTCGTTATATTACTATTTACAAAAAGTTAGTTCCAATTTTTTATTATTTTATTAAACGTGTTTCAACCTCCGTTAATTATTTTTTTCATTTTTAATAATAGGTTAGTTGTAAAAGTGGACCTAAATTTGTTATTACAATTTATAGATTGACATTTTAAAATGTTTTGTCTGTTTTGATTATTCATTAATATAAAAGTAAATTTCTTTTTACATTACATGATATGTTGAATCACGGTGAATTATTTATGATGTATGTTAAATAATAATTTATATTTAAATTCTTCCTAAAAATATGAAGATACTAGATAATAATATGGTACTTATTCAAATAAAATAATGGTTCACAAATAAAAAAAGTAAGTATTTGTTTAGAAAATAATAGTTAATAAATAAGATTACATTATAAATTATAAAACCAGACAAGTCAGAAATAATATATTCAAGTGTCAAAGTACGATCTAATTTACATGATAAATTCAAACAAACTTTAATAAAATGTGTTAAGATAATAAATTTGAGACTTTTCTTATACCCCAACTGTATATATTTGCGCATTTAGTACATGATGTTTCAATTAAATCGATTTAGTTACTCAATTTTTCGTTTATCAATAAATTTTGGTCCACATCGTAAGATTTCATTAAAACAAATAAATAAATAACGGTTTTTAAAAAAAAAAATCGTTAAATTCATGGAAAACTATATAAAAAAAAATTCGTTAATACTATGTCAATTTGTTCCATTAATAATAATAAAAAAAAAAAACTAAAGAACATATATATATTATATAGGAATCTACTTTTAGGCTTTTAATTCTGAACTTTATATTATTGCTTCTCGAGTTACAAATAAAAAGACACAAGATACTGATATATATTGAGAAATAAAATATACATATATAAACATTATATATAGTAGTCTATTTTAATTGCATATCAAAATTATTTATTCTAATTATGTTTTCTTATTTTATATATTTTTAATAGTTCCGTGCATTTGCACGTGCCACGATACTAGTTTATATTTATATTAGAGTACTATTGAATTTAATTTTGAATTTTATTTCATTTTCCAAGATAATAATAGATATTCAATACGAATGTTTATTTTAAAAAATCCATCTATAAACACAATAAATATACAAATAATATAATATAACATTTTTTTTTTTTTTGGAATA